GGTTTACTTTTGTATTCATCGAGCTATTATCACTGTTTTGCCTTGGATTCATCATCGTTTCAACTATATTTTTCCGTCATCATTGTCTCAATTCCAACTCCCGCAATTGTCGTCTCAATTTAGACTCGTCGCTTCTGTTTTTTTCTGTTTTTGTCTTGTTCTGTATCGTAATTTCAAGGCTTTTTGTTTTTTTTCTTTTTCTTTTTTCTTTTTTTTTTTTTTCCCCTCCAAGAAAAAAATACGTATCCCCATTTCCAGGGATTTTCCAAGCCTCGTGAGGTCACGGGTTGAAAATAAAACGCGCTCGATATTTATAAAAGGAGATATCTGAGCTGTGGGGAAAATGTAGACCAATAAACTGATAGATAAAAAATAGAAAAAGTTAAAATTTTGATTTGTGATATCTCGAGAAAAAAATTGTGATGTACAATTTGTTCAACTCGTACATTTTGTCATAATATTAAAGAATTGCATCACGGTGTTCATAATTGAAAAATTTAAATTATGTAGAAGATAAATTACTTTATATTTGTCTACTACATTTGTATTTCATATTTAAATTCAAATAAAAGAAATTAACATGTGTTTTATCTTAGTTTAGTGCATACAGTTATGTATGATTTTACTGCTAAATAAATACACTGCTTTAACTATAAATAACTTTTATATCATATTTTATACGATTATAACGTCATATTTTTATGACTTTAAGGTTCAGTTTCATTATATATATTATTAGTAGGATCTTTTATGAACATAATGATTGCTATCTAAATGTATTATGTGATGCCATTATAAATTAAAAGATGGCACGAGAGAAAAAAATTAAATATATAATCTCATTAAAAAAATGAGAAAGATATTTCGATTAAAGACAAAAAATAATTTATCCTCATAATTTTTCATCTTTATATATTTAAACAAAGAGAAATAAAGTCTTTGTATTATATTGTGTTCATTAATAAAAATCGAAGAATATTTCAAACTTTTGAACAATAGTTGTTTGAATAAAGAAATCACGTCATGTTTTGCAATCTAAAATTTTCGATACATTCAAATTTTCGAACAAATCTAATAAAGATTACTTCAATTGTATCAATTTTTAATTTCGTAATTGAAGAAAATTGATTAATTAAAAAAAATTTAATCCAATCATTGAATTAGAAAATAAACAAAAAGAAAACTCAACGTATATATTTCATGTTTTGTTTGCGATGATAAAAAACATTAAATTCTGTTTCTGTTAGAGAATTTATTGTATTTCATGCAATAGTTAATTTTTCTTCAAACAAAACGAGCTTCGAGTCAGAAAGTATTGGTTTCCATCGAAATTTATTAGAACATAGCAAATATAAAAAGAGGATGTTGGAAAGGTGGAAAAATACTGACAAATAACTATAAAAATGAATCAAAAAAAGAAAAAAAAAGAAAATAATAAATAATATTACGTTTGATGTTAACATTTCGAATTGCTTTTAAATGTTTCTTTTTTGATTTTTTTTCTTCTTCATTTTGAAATCAATTTCAAATAATCTGGGATATTGTTTTCTTTCGATCAATTTTTCGTAATATTGGAGAAAAGCAATAGAGATGCAGAGAAATCTTTTCAAATAGTTGAATTTTAAATAGAATCAGAGAGGACGAAATATATATTGGAAGAATCGATGTGCGGACAAGGCAAAAGTATTAATGGAAATGAAAGTCTCGGTCACGGGTAAATATCGGATTAATGAAATTAAATTTGGATATTTGAAAATGAATTTAATATTCGACACAATGTCGAGAGAGATGAAAGTCAGGGCAGAGATATTGGTTGAATTTTAATGTCTTTGTATATTTTCGATAAAAAATAAAATATTAAATATAAAATAAAAAATAGAAAATTGTTTCTATTTTTTTAATAAATGTACATTTTCGTATTCATAGAAAATATTGTATAAACAATTTCTTAATTAAATGATAATTTATTAATGATTATATTTTTAATATGGTTTCATATATTATAGATTCGTTTCAACAAAATCTTACAAAATTCAAGTTAATACCTTTTAAATTAATATGTCTTTGTTGAAAGTAGGTTAATACTTTTTTATATGAAACCACATTATGCATCGATTAATGCATTAAAAGATATAAGTGAACGAAAAGGACATATTCAGCCTTCCATATAATAATCCCTGTATATTTATTTATGAAAAAATTACTAACATTATATCCTTTTTTACATCGTGCAATTTTTCATTCGAGTTTTATAAAATAATTTTATAAAATAAAAAAAACTTTTTTAAACTCTATATTATATATAACATAAAATATTCATACTCTGAAACAAAATAAAAAAATCTACTTCCATTTTTTAATAATAATTCAGAAATATTTTATAAAGAATAAATTTATTATTTTTTCTCTCTTCCTTTTTTTCTCTCGCTCTCCCTCCTTCCCTATCCCCCTTCTCTCTCTCTTTCTTCCTTTTCCTCCTTCCCTCCTTCTCTCTCTCTCTCTCTCTCTCTCTCTCTATTTCTATCTATCTATTTATCTATCTATCAAAAGAAAAATCATTTCAACAATTAAACATCATTTTAATATTTTTTATGATATCTTATTTTTTCACATCTTGAAGCATCGTTTGAACGTCTTCGAAACTCGAAGAATACATTCCCTTCTCGACACGTGGAAACCTATATCCCACCCAGGTGTTGTCAGCAAGGTCACGTTTCCGCTCTTTTTCGTAGGCCGTGACGACTAATCGATAGAGCAAACTGTTGATTCTGACCCGGACATGATTCCGGATTTTGCGGGCCACGGCGACTATGTCAATCTTGGAAATCAATGAAATTCGAGCATCGTCACCGATCAATATCACGCTTGAAGATCGCTTTTTCTTCCCCTTCAAGAGGAGGAATTAATTTTATGGAATTATTTTTGAAAAGATTAGATGTTTCAAGAGATTTGAAGATGTTTCATAGAATATAGTATTTTGGAATTGAGAATTTTCGAGAAGAAAAATTAACTTTAGATGGAGGTTAATTAACGAAGGATGATGGTACGGTTGTTTGAAATTGTAGATGATATTTGTATCGTTATTTTGATTATTAATTACTGTTTCTTCCCATTTTTTTTCTATTACTTTCTCTCGAAACAATTGTCTCGATTATTATATTCAAAATCAGTTCTTAAATTTGAGTCGAATTAAATTTAATAAAAAAATTTCCAAGCAGTTAAATATTCGATGGAAGATCAAAAAATTCTCATGTAAAATAATCTTTCATATTGAAGAAAATTTTTTTTTTATTTTTTTTAGAAATTTCAGTTTTTAATTTGAGAAAATCTTGAAAGAACGTCTCACAAAAATCAATATCTCAGCCATGATTGCAGATTAAAACAGTAGTTTCCCATTTCGAAAATTTATCACTAAATTTCTCGACTATTCATCTTCGTTATTCATTTGTGTTGCTTTTAAGAGAAACTCGAATGGAATTCTGTGATTGGTAAAAAGTATTTACCAGTGAATGGAACGATATAGATGAAGTTGGAAAGTTTTAATGAAACTCCTGTCGTTTGATGTGTTATTCCGATTATGATAGATTGTTGGCGGGATCGAGAACTTTTTAGAGAAATGAAGGAATGTTTCGATGAATTCCTGTTCGTTGTAATTTCTGAATAGATTTATGGAATTTTGGATATTTCTTTGGGAAGGAAATTATTCCTGCAATTTATGCGTTCCCAATTTATTATAATATTATCATCGATATGATGTTTTTTTTTATTCAAAGATAAATAATTTATATTATTTAATACAAAAATATATATTTAAAAAAATTGAATCGAAGAAATTTTTATATTAAAAAGAGATTAAAATTTTATGTAGAACTCGCATCTTCAAATCTTAATATTATTGATTGTCAAAATTATCGATCAAGAACATCCCAATCTTTTATCTCTGATTCCTAAAAATAATTTTCACTTCGATCTCGAATCAAATCTCGATTTATCAAACGAGAGAGAATAAAAGACGCATCACGTTCTTTTATTTTCTAAAAATAGAAATCCAGTGAAAAAGAAATCCCAGGTTCTTTCTCCTTTCTCCCCATTTTCTGTTTCACAACGTCCTTTGTCAATTCATCTTTTCCTCTTCAATCTCGTCGAGGACGAGAAGGTTTCCCTCCTATTTTTGGCAATTCCCCTAAAATTCGTTCAAAAAGCCTGTTGTGCACATTAATATCGCGAGCCAACCAATCCCCATATCAAATCGATAGAGCTTAAGACCGTGAAAGGTTGACAGAGCCACGTCCCTTCGTTGTTAACTGCTCCCTCTTCACCCTTTGTGCACACACCTTGATTCGTTAAACGTATTTCGCGCTTGACAGATTGTTTTCTTAGACGTGACAGAGGGACATATTCTATGGATGTAGTATTTGCTTTCCAAGATCGTTTCGATTGCATGAAATGTTTGAGAAACGAAGTGGAAGATGAATGATTTAATTATTAATGTTTGGGATAGATTGTTATAGATGGTTTGAGCTAAAAACATGACTACGTTAATATATTCGTGTGTATAAAAAAATTGTATGATTTTCTAATAGTAAATTGAAATTGGCTCTAATTTTTCATAATTAGTATGCAAAAGATAAGTTATATTTTTAGATGTCGTAAGGATTTCGAATTCTTCTTTTTTGAGCATGTTTTTAGATATGTTTTCTATTCAATTTTTTTAATTCTTATTTTTATGTGTTATTAATTATGGTATTTTCTTACTTTAGTTTTATGTTAATAAATTTGTTGATATTCTGAAATATTCATATATGTGTAGATTTAAAATTAATAATTGTTTAAAACATTGCATTATCAGAATTAAACTCTATATTGGATTATTCCTTTATTCAGTTATTTTATAGTGGAATGTAGATCCATTAGATTTGATAAATTAAAAAAGTTTACAAAAAAAAGTTACTTACATCCATTTTCAGAGCACATTTTTGTGGTCCATACTGAACTTTCCAGTCGGTGGTTAGGAGGTCGAATCCTGCTGCAACCATTATTTCTTCTAATTAAACAGCTGAATCAACAACTTTCCTTGTGAGTAATTCATCGTTAAGCATCGAGCATTAATTATATATTAAAATAATAAGATAAAAATCTAGATGTACTTCTTTTTTTTTTTATAGCACATATATCCATATAATACACGTGCACTTAATGATTGTTTCCATTTAATGTTTCCGGATATAATTCGTTTCCAATAAAAATAATGTTTTATTGTAGGTATTGTTGCAGAGAAATTATATTTATTATTACAGATAATATAAAATAACAGTTTAATACTTATTATTACATATCAGTTAAAATATGTGTAGGTACATCCACTCCATTCCACTTCATTAATATTACACTCACCAATATATTATCACCCATTAATATTGTTATATTAGCAAGCAAATTCCTGAATATTTTCATGATGAAATTTATTTTAACGATATTTAATTTAACGATATTTAAAAATTTTAAATAATATATTCTTAAATGCATATCAATATATAAATTAATTTATTTTAACTTTGCAATATATTTTCCCATTAGTGAAGATATAAAATTCTTGACAATTTTTAAATTCTTCGAGTTTTTCATTAAATTTCCTCGTTATATCGATGTTCTCTCTTATTTTTCCAAATAAAGATTCTCGAGATGTAATTGTTAACATGCCATTCCTCTAATTTGGTACACGAACAGATTGGATTTTACCATACTCGAGAGGAATTATTAATTGCACGATATGCAGATGCTTTTGTTGGCGAGATTTGACGATCGATCGGTGTAAATTATCGACGAGCCATGGAGATTTATTTATTCCTCTTGGAAACCTCCATTTGTATTCTTAATTAATAAGTTCAAATTGTCTTGATAAAATCGGTTTCAGTGAAAAATAATCAACACGGTATCAATGATTATTCGTTGTCTCGTTAACATTTGCGAAATAATTGTATTTGAAGGTAGGGAAATTGGAAGAACAGGAAAATTATGAAAGAATTATAAGAGTAGATTTACAGAAAAATCAAATTTAGCGATGTTAAATCAAAAGTAATTATCAATTATTGAGATACGTTATTCAATAAAGAAATTCGTCCGGTAGAATTTTTTTATGTAATTATGGAAAGTATCATATATGTGTATGTATAAATTGTAAACTAAAATGTAAATGTAAATTAAAAAGTACTATCGAAAATTAATTTGATAGCGAACAATGGATAAAGAGGGAAAAAAAAATAGAAATTGTTTTATAAATATTAAAACATTCTTTTTTTTCGTATCATTTAATCGAATTTCTGTTAGAAGAGACATTAACAAAAATAGCTCATTATCATAGTAATATTATCTCCAACATTTGCACAGACTAATCAAAGGATTTATTCAACGATTTTTCATTATAAAGTCATTATTTACACGTGAAAATATTTTTTCTTTCTTTTTTTTCTTCAAATCATTTGTTTGTTTTAGACAAGTTTTTCTATTTTTTTTTTTAATAATTTGATTCAAGTCTATCTTTGATATTGAAATCTTTAATTGAATATCGAGTTATGCATATTTATTTTAAGATAACATTCAATGGTATGTAATAATATTTATAATTCCTCAATTGCTAATTTCAAAAGATAGCTTTTTTTATGATAATAGTTTGAATATCTTCATATTAAATAATAGATAAATTTAAATAATATTCATTATTTAATACTACTACATTAATATTATTACATATCAATACTCCACAATGTATTACATTAACTAAGATTTTAATTCATTTAAAATTTACAATAAAAAGATAAAACCGTCACAGAAACGTTATTTTAAAAATTGATTTTCTGTAGATAATTTGGGTTTTTTAGGATCGAGAGGAAATTCCATTGTTAAATCTTTTCGAAGCAAGTTTTTATTTTTATCGAAAAAAGTTTTAAATGTTTTATTTAACAATCATTTGTATCTTAAATGAGAGTCATACTTCGATAAGTTTCTTGGAATTTTTTCAGATTTTTATAATAAAAAAATAAGTTGCCTATAAATATTTTAAAAAAAGTATCTACAGAGGGTTAATATATTTAATTTTAGCCTAATTTTAGTTATTTCTCTTTCTCTCTTTTTTTTTATTTTTATATTTCTATTTCACGTTTATATTCTTTTCTTTTCGATCAATTTTATCTCCAGTATTTTATCCATCAATTTTATCTTGATTAAATTTTTTTATTGAATTCATAACTTCATATTTATTTTAACATATATAAAAATTCATATGAATTCATTCTTATGAATTCGTTTATTCACGAAGGAATATTTACACGGTGTAAATATTCCAACATGAAATGTTAATTGATTTCAAGGAATAATTTATTGTACGTCGAGATTTGAGATTTTTCATCAATTTCTTTTCTCAAAATCTTATATTGATTATATTTTCTTTTCTTTTTTTTAATTTATAGATTATCATTATAAAGAATAAAAAAAAAACTATCAAGTATAAATTAATTAATAATCGCCAGGGTTTTAAAAATCTAAATTTATCAAAATTTCTTTTATTCCATTTTATGATAATTCTTCAATTATAAATCAAACACACGATAGAAGAATCGTAATGATCTCGATGATTGTTCACAAATCTCATTTCAACGATTGAAACATTATTCAACATAGTCCTCATCAATCTACAACCTTCACACCTGTTCCTCCATTATTTCCCCTCCTTTTTTTCTCAGCGAGCAGCTTTCATGGAGGACTTCTTTTTTTTTTCTGTCTCCTCGGAGACATTAATCAAAAAGTGGAGCCTCTGTTTGTTTACGTCAGTTCAAAACAGCTCCTTCGATGGAAAAATGTACCTCGTTTCGCTTTTATCCCAACATCTTCCCTCTAATTTTTTCTCCCTTCTTTGAGGATTTACTAAAGAATCATTTTGAATATATCGAGGAAATAAGAAATTCGCGATTGGTCGCGAAAAACTGGATTCATCGTGATTGAAAAGTTCTTTAAAAGAAATGAGGAATGAGATTTCATTGTTAGGATTCGTTGCTGATTGGAATAATGTTCGTGAGTTTTGGGATTCTGGGATTATAAGAAGATGAATTTTAAAATTATTTTCTTACAGATTTCTTTTTTTGAAGAGGAATGAATTTAATAAATAATTTTGTGAGACATTGAATTTTTGAATTTTTCAATTTTAATTGTTAAAAAGAATTTCTAAATAGAAGGTCATTTTTTTTTTTATTTCTTTTTAATCATTTCGGAATCTTTAAACTTTTCTATCAGATTCTGAGTTCTCAGTGGCAAAGTGATTAACGTACAAATTATGAGTTAAAAATAATTTCTATTGTTATAAGGAAGATATGAATTATGAAATTTATGTTCAACATGATTGAATGTATATTTATGTTATTTCATATTAGAATTAATTATAATAGAATTATTATATTATACTCATAGAACAATTATAGAATTATCATATTAAATGGAATTACAGAATTATTGTATTTTATAATTAATAGAATTATTATACAATTATATTATTATAGAATTGCTGCCATTATTATTATAATAATTAAATTAGAATTAATAATATTTATTCTAGTAAAAATATTGGAATATCTAAATTTCTAGATAAGAATAAATCATAGATATTCTTTCTCTTTCTTTCATCTTGTACCTGTTTTGTTAAAATAGTTATTCAAATTTCTGTCCCATTTATTAATAACATTGGCGTTGTATCAGAGCAAACAGGAAAAGACAATTTTCCATCCCAGTCGAGAATCATGAAAGGAGGACATCGATTGACACACATGGTTTCGAAACGTGGTTTATATCGTGATTTAATTTCGAACTTAATTAGTCCTCCGTCATTCTGTTAAAAATTTCGTGATTGACATTCACTACGAGATTCTATAACGAAATTCTATGTAATAATACTGCTTTTCAAATATCTAGAAAATTATAACAATAGTTCAATAGAAAAAAAATTGTAATATCAATTTTTATCTGATATAAAATATTAGAATCATAATTTTTAACATTTTTTCGTGTTTTTAGTATGGCATACGATCATTTTTATCAATTATTATTTCATAAATAATTAACAAATTAAATCATTACAATTATATAACTTATGTTTCGATAATTTTACCAAATATCCAGATTATTTTCATAATTTTTGTATACAAATATTTTTATTTAAAAATAAATTCCAGTTATTCTCAATTTCATTCATATTCAAAAGAGTTGTTTGATCATAAAAATATAATAAATAATAAGATATTATTATATATGTATATTAATATGTACACGATTATAAAATTAATAATTGATAAAACTTCCAATTTTAAAAACACGAGAAAATAGTTGAAAATTGTAAACAATTCTAATTTTCCTTTTAACCAGGATTATCCCAATACAACGTATTTAAAAATTCATAAAAATCGAAAATGACGTTTCTACACAATTATCGATTTTCACAAATTTCTCAGAAGAAGAGACAATCATACGTTTCATCCGCCATAGAATAGAAAATCCTTGTAACGCGTACGTTCACGCCACCCTGTATTGAATAACGTTAACGAGATTTCACGCGTATAGAATCGACGTCTACGAAGTGCAGAGCCGAAAGACAAAGGGTTGGGTGTATCGACACGTTCCTATAATCGACAGACTGTTAAAATTTTCTTTGTGGCGATGAGAGTGACACTAGGTGATCCCTTTGTCGGCCGCACATGATTGTTCACGGTTGTTGCTCGGTTGCTAGGTGTGTTCACACCAGTCTTTACGATGGTCTTTCAACCCTCTTGAATGGCTTATCCGTGTTCCTTTTAGCTGCAACACTTGTTGACCGATATTTTTTTATCACGTACCATTATGTTCAGTAATAATATCGTAGAGAGATCCAATTGGGGCAATGTGGAGAAATAAAAATTCTCATTAGAGTGTTTTGATGTGTCTCAGCAATTTTACTTCACGCTATTTTTAATTTTAATAAAAAAAATTAATTTTAATAATAATAATTAAGTTTTGAAAAATTTATTTCAATTGGAAAATGGGTATATCATATGATA